GTAATTGGCAGCAGGCGGTCTCTCAAGTACCCAGGTCCAATACCATGACGACTATCATATAAGTGACGACTAGCACCTTGAAGCGTATCTGGAGACCAATCGGTAACCAGTGCAGCTCACGGAGGATAGGTGTAACGTGGGTGTACCGAGGTGCACCCACAATCGCTCGTGCGGCTGCATTCTGGACGAGCTGGAGTCTCCAAATGCTCTTCAAGGGCTGCCCCATGTAGAGCGCATGCACTATAAATGCTATGGTTTAGAACTTTCTGAGAAAAGAATTATACTTACCCTCTGCCCCGAGACACCAGCATTTCCTGCTTCTCCGGGTTTCCCGGGATCCCCCTATTTAAATATATGATTAATACATTATTAATAATATGATATAACTTGGTAAATATGGTCAAACTCTGAAGCACAATACTTACACTGCTCCCTTTTGGTCCAGGAAGACCCATGCTGCCCGGCTGGCCTCTAATTCCAATTGGACCGGCAGGGCCTGGCCGACCATCTTCTCCTGGAGCACCCTAAGGAAACATCAAACATTTAATCTCATGTATCTGTGTCTGTATTATGTACCATGTAACTCATGTGTCTGTGTCTGTGTGTAAAACTGGTTGCTGAATTATCAATGCAGGATGCAAACACATCAATGCGGGATCTTTCTGGAAATTAAATTAGAAAGGTGGAAATATGTATCACAAAATGGTTAGTTCGCTTAGCATTTCGAATGTTTGTTAGTCCATGGCTGTAAAACATTACCAGGATAATAATCCCAAATACTATTAATTTCAATTACAGGTTATATGAATATGACACTAATTACACAGCTCCACTCCCTTCCTTTTTGGGAAAAAAATAAGGATAGGGCTAGGAATAGTCCTTTGAATTATTCCAGCTCTACATACCACATCATTCATGTAATTTATGTAAGAGCCGTGGTGGCGCAGTGGTTAGAATGCAGTACTGCTGACTCCTGATTGCCAGCAGTTCAAATCTCATCAGGCTCAAGGCTGACTCAGCCTTCCATCCTTCCAAGGTAGGTAAAATGAGGACTCAGATTGTTTTGGGCAATATGCTGACTGTAAACTGCTTAGAGAGGGCTATAATGTACTGTGAAACAGTATATAAGTCTAAGTGCTATTGCTAACTTAATAGCATGTGTTTTTATTCTAATAACTTAAGAGCTCCTCAAAACTACAAAAAAGGATTAAAATTATTCACAGTAAAATTACTGCCCTATTCCTATATTGATATCATTGTTCTAATGCTGATTAATTATTTCTAATATTTTTGGACTGTAATCAACCCACACTCGACCTATGCATCTTCTGATTTACATATCGAGTTTAAAGCTTCAGTTGCACAGATGACATCAACATTAAGGTTAGGCAAACCACCCAAACATGAAATATGATGAATTCACACTATTGGGGTAACAGAACCAGAGATCCAGAAACCCTTTTCAAGTCAGATGTGCATGCATCTGTAACAGAGGAAACAGGAAATAACTTGGAAATCTGATATTAAAGGACCCAGGTTAATACTTTCCTCTTGTCGTGTGTCTGAATGTGTGCATAAAAAAATAAAAAGTGAAAAAATAAAAGGAATTGGGGAGTTTGAATTCAGAGCAGCTGATCCATTGTTATTCTGATAATGCCCTTGAGCTTCCCTCTGGCATTCAAAGATACAAAATCTCTAAGATTTTATTTTCTCCCATAGTTAATGATATCACAGTTCAATCTTGGGCATGGCAACCAGCTAAAGCTAAATGTTAATTAGTTACATTAACATTTTATGTTAATAACACTAAAACTAAATGTTAATTGGTGTACATTAAACTACAGTTAACCTCAGTTTAGCAAATTTAGACCCAAAGTAAACATTGAAGAAGATTTAACTTTTAAAAATATCTCATATAAACAATTCCTCAGCTAAAGGTTGAAGTGTTGATTGGTTTTGTTTTTACTTTCCAGTGAGTCTTGAATCCTGATAACTGCCTGCAGTTTTCTTTTCTTGACTAGAATTTGGGGGCTCCTAATTTCTAGCTTGATGCCTTTAAAAAACCAGTCCCATGTCCTCCCTCACCAGGTTGGGTACTCAGATAAAATGTTCTCTTTTTCTTCCTACCCTCATGAGAATTGCTCTCTGAACAGAGGTGGGTTGCTCCTGGTTTGGCCCGGATCGGGCCAAAGAATAGTAGCAGTGGCGAGAGGCTCCCCCACCCGCCCGGACAGAAACATCATGAGCACATGCGAGTGAGCCCCTGAACTGGTAGTAAAAAATTGGCAACCCACCACTGTCTCTAAAGTATCTGTGAAAGGGATACAGAAGGAAAGCAAGAATAAGGCTATCAAGAACCAAGATCCCACTCAACTACTTAAACTTTTTAGTCACATAGCTCTAGACACAAGTCAACTAAATTCTCCCACAAATTCTCAATTTACTTACCAAGGGACCAAGTTTTCCTTCTGGACCTGAGACCCCTGGATTCCCTGTCAGACCCTGTAAAAATATATATTACAAAACAATGTTATTTCTGGCACTCGATTACCATTTTCATCCAAAACATATTCATAAGATTAATTCACAAGTTATCCAAAATTATACTATTTTATAATATCTGACATCTACAGTCCCACATTCATTTTGACCTAAATGATATTAATATTTATACAGTGCACTCTCATAAATTAACCAAGATCTGTGGATCTGAATAGCCCTCTCCCTTTTTTTTAGACACGTTCAGTCTGGATGTATAGAGTAGGATTATTATTCTTTTTTTACCCTGGCACCTGGGAGACCAGGTTCACCCATGCGACCAGGATCCCCTTGGCTTCCTTTAGGGCCTGAAGCTCCCGCAGGGCCACGTTCCCCTTGAGCTCCCTGAAAAGGAAATCAAAAGCAAGATCACTCCATGGCATTTCAGGTATAATTAGAAGTGTATGTTGGGGTGGAGGTGATTTCAAGAATATTTGGGTTTTGTTTCCAAATAATTTGTGTGCTACCCAATAACAGCTCTTACAGAACAGAATTTCTTTCAGGCTGAGTTATTTCGCTAAGAAACATGCATCAAGGAAGCAAGAGGAAGGATCAAAAGCAACATGAACACATAGGGGGTCTTGGCTAATTTCTAAATTCAAAACTGCCTCTCTTTAAATCGCCAATGACAACATCTACCAGCTGGGGTACCTCTGGGAGTGTTGTTGTTTTTTTAATGAAAACTTTTTGAGAAGAGAAATTAGAAGATGACATTAAATCGCTTGTATGATACACTATTTTGATTTTGATTACATTTCCAGAATATATGTACTATTAAAAAAGATCTTAATAATCGTTATAGTCACCTTTGGTCCTGGCAAACCATCAGATCCTGGAAAGCCACGATTACCAGGAGGACCCTATGGAAAAAAAAGTATGTGTTTTTACGGAGTGACATGTATGATTCATGCTTGTGACATTTAAACTTCCTTTTATGTTTAAAATAGTATTTGAAATACATTGTATTTGGAGGAAAAAAAAATTCAAAGAATAAAAATCGCCAAAGGATTACCAATAGACCCCTCTGAATCTGGGAGGTGCTGATGAAGCCCACTACTTAGTGAAATCTAAGTTTATCCAGGATCATTATCCATAAATGGCTATAATAATATGTATAACCAAGCATATTTAAATATACAGCATGGTGGTAAGGTCTATTCCTCCTAGTGATGCTGCTGCACACTGCCCACTTGCCAGGGCAGTGCTGAGCTGAACACACACCAAACCGACATCAGGCCCAGGCAACAAGACAGTGGGTCTATTTTTCTGCGGCAACCAATAGATCTACGGTATAGCCATCTCCATCAAAATGCAGACACATCCCAGATGCTGATTTGATTGTGCAAGATGGCATTTTGTCAATGTGAAAAATGGATCCTGCTCTTATGGGAATAACATTAGGAAGAAGGAAGAGGAGGAGGAGGAGGAGGAGGAGGAGAAGAAGAAGAAGAAGAAGAAGAAGAAGAAGAAGAAGAAGAAGAAGAA